AGTGTTGGCCTGACCGCCCCCTATATTATTACACCAAAGGGGACTCATCCACTGCGCCTTGAAGGAGAAAGGAAGTGATCACGGGGCCACTGGGGAGGGAGCCATGGGACAGGGAGGAGCCCTTGGTGCCTGAGTGGGCCCAATGGGCTGACTTCATGGCTCCCAGCCTTAGAGATATTTCACCTCTCCAGCCTCCTCTGCTCCCTCACCCTCTCCTTGCCCCACAGCTCCATCCCCTGTCCAGCCCTTCACATGGGCAGGTTGCTGGCACATGCCCAAAGAAAGGCTCCCCTAGAAACACCAATCAGAAAGGACATATGCACCCCTATGTTCACAGCAGCACAATTTACCATAGCTAAGATTTGGAAACAACCCAGGTGCCCATCAGCAGATGAGTGGATTTAAAAACTGTAGTACATTCACATCATGGAATACTACGCAGCTGCAAAAAAGAAGGATCGCTTACCCTCTGCGACAGGATGGAGGGACCTGGAGAGTATTAGGCTAAGCGAAATAAGCCAGTCAGAGAAAGACAAGTATCACATGATCTCACTCATAGTATGTGGAATCTAATGAACAACATAAACTGATGAACAAAGTAGATCCAGAGGCATGGAAGCAGGGTATTAGCATAACCAATGGACACAGGCACTGGGGCGGTGGGGCAGGGAGAATGGTTGGGGGGGTCAGTTGGGGAAAAAGGAGACATATGTAAAACTTTAGACAATAAAATAAAAGAAAGAAAGGCTCCCCTGATCTCCCCCCTTCCTCCCTCTGCTCAGATGACAATGAGTGTCTGAGGGACCCCTGCATGGGGAAAGGGCGCTGTGTCAACCACGTGGGCTCCTACTCCTGCCTCTGCTACCCTGGCTACACACCGGCCACCCCAGGGACCACGCGGGAATGCCAAGGTAAGCCCTTGCCCTTGGGATGGGCACAGGACCCCTCAGAGAGCTGAAGTGGAAGAGGATCCAGGCATCGTCAGCACTCAGCTCTGTGGTGTGGGAGTGCGGGGCCCAGGGAACCAAGACCAGGGCTCTGAGCGGGACCTGGGAGAAAGCCGACTCCCCTGACACCGGACTTGAGAGGTCAGAATCTGAAAAGCAGCAGCATGCCCCAAGGCTCAGGGAGCTGTGGCTAAAGCCCCGAGTGTGGGGGTCCAGGGAGAGGAGGACTGACAGCCAGGCCCCCACATTCTGAGCGACAAGGAGCTGTTTTCCTTGTGGTAAGGAGGGCGACCCGTGAGGATGCCGAGTGAGACCCCGGCAGACGGGGGAGAAACCGTGCCTCCGGGAGAGGCGCGTGGGCCCTCTGTAGCTGGTGCCTGCAAGGCTTTGAGCTCCCCAAGGAAGCCCTGAGGGGTAACGGTGCCTCCAACACAAGCCCTTTAACGTGCAGCAATCACACTGGGATACATGCGTCTTCACAGAAGAGACCACAGAGAACATGAGGCAGCGCTTTCCAAGCCGGGACTTGAGATTCTTAACCCATTTGGGTTCTTCTCCTGGACAATGGCACTGCCTTCTGAGGGCCCACATTGTGGTTCTGGCCCGGGCAGCCCAGCAGTCCCTCGAGGGCCCTCCACAAAGCTGTGTGTCCTCCCATTGCCAGGGACCCTCCAGGACCTGGCCCCCTCGCCGATTGTGGGGGGAAAGGGAGCAAAGGAGACACACCACTTCTTTAATCGGAGGCTGGGAGCCTTGTGTGCATCATTCATTCAGCACTCAAGCTCTGAGCACCTATGTGCCAGGAGCCGTGTAAGCTCTGGGGACAGTGGGAAGAGTAAGACATGAATGGTGGCCCCGGGGCGTGAGGAAACAACTGGTTCTGTGTGGAAGAATGGGAAGGTTTCCCTCTGGGCGTGTTGGAGCTGGGGCAGAACCATCACATGAGCACTCGCTACATGCTGGCACTGTCCTAAGCGCTTTATGAAGCTCATTATCCCAACCCCGTGCAAGAGAAATCCTTATACCCATTTTATAGTTTAGCAAACTGAGGTTCAGAGAGGTGGATTGAAACACCCAGGGACCTCACACCTAGTTGTGGCAGAGCTTTGCTTCCAACAACACCCTCCCTTACACACAAAGTGAAGGACTGGGGGGCATGGAGGGCATTCCAGGGAAAGGGAACCATTTCTGCAGGGAGCAGGGTAGTGGACAGACAGGCCTGGCACGCTCTGGGAATAATGCCAAATCCAGTGTGACGGGGGTGCGGGGCATGGGGAGGAAGTGGCAGGGGCGGAGGCCAGTGGTGAAGTGTCATGAGTGCCAGGCTGAAGTGCTTGGACGCTGTCCCACAGGCTCTGAAGGCAGAGGGTGGCGATTCGCTCAGCTGGCTTTCAGGGAAGTGACCCAGGCAGCAGTGCTCCCAACAACTGGAGCTGGCGAGGGGAGAGGTTGGGGCAAGGGGCGTCTCTAGGCTTCCTGGCCTTGGCAGTGTTGTGGGCCAGAGGCACTGCTCTCGGCAGGCCCAGCCCTGGGCGCTGGCTGCGGCAGGGAATGGTGTCACCAGGACTGGCCCAGATAAGGGATTCTGCTCTGTGCCAGCCTGGGTGTCCGGGATGTCTCTGCCAGACCTGACAGCTGGGAGAGGAGGGAAGGAGCTCAAGGTCAGCTGTCTCCCTGTGGGGTCTGGCTGCCACATAACGAGGCCTTACCCAGGAGAACACTTCCAAATGTTACCAGTCTCAGAAAACAATATGTCATTATGGAAATTATTTACTTTATGAATTATTTCATTAATGTGCTATTTCTAGAATTCGAATAATATAAATATAATTGATTAATATAAATGATTTGACTATTAAATACTTAAAATAAGTGGGGTTTGGTGAATATAGCAAAACTGAGGCCAGGCTGAGCAGTGGAGAACCTTGATAGAGGTTAAGCAAGGGAGTGGCATGAGCAGGATTGGGCTTTTGAGCCATCATGGGCACTAGTCTGCTTTGGGACAATGGAATAAGCCTCACTGATAGTTCCTCAGCTGCCCAACATGCTGTCTCTCACTTGCTGCTTAATCCCTAACCTTTAAGGAGGCTGTAAGAATTCTAGGACCAGATCAATACAGGGGATGTATTGGGGTCAGGAGGGGGACTGTTGGCTTCCTCAGATCACGCCCTGTGGTCACCTGACCTCAAGGCCAGCCCTTGCATTGTGGTGAGAAGACAGCTATAGGGTCCCCATGGGCCCCAGAAGTAGCCTCCCTCGGAGAAAGGAACTCGAGAGTTTGCAGAGGCCTGAGCTAGGTCAGTCTCAGACCTGGCATAGAAGCCCCCTGCCAATCATGGCACAGCAAGGATGCTGTCCCCTCCTGGGCCTCAGCATGAGTGTCCTTGTCCTTGGCCTCTGAAGGGAATGTCCCCGGACCCCCTGCAGGGCTGGCTCCAACTCAGGCCTTTTCCGTGTGTTTGCAGACATAGACGAGTGTGAGCAGCCAGAAGCATGCCGTGGTGGGCGGTGCACCAACACGGAGGGCTCCTACCACTGTGAGTGTGATCAGGGCTACATCATGGTCAGGAAGGGACATTGCCAAGGTAAGGAAGTGGGTGCCACCCCACCATCTCCTGTCCTTCCCATGCACTGATTGCCCCAACTCCCGTTTCTGCTTGTCCCTGATGGGATAGGGCCCCTTGATGCCAAGCCCACTCCTATGGACAGAGGCCTGTCTGGGAACTTTTGAGCTCTTGCATCCCCTCAGCAGTATTTTGGCATCCTGCCTGCCCCCTGAAGCAAGTTCATGTACATGAGACCCCGGAACATCCCCGTGTACTCCTGTGCCCCTCACCGTGAGTCATGGTACTCTCCTTGTGCAGAGAGAAGAAATCAGTCTATCTGGGAGGCACCTGGGCCTCAACCTTGGCCTTCTTGCTAAAGCATGTAGGCTGTGAGCTCCTTGGAACTGGACCATATCCTCAACGACCCATGATAATTGTCTATGTGTTGGACACCCCAACGAATTTTAGTTGAAAGAATGAATGAGCCCCTATCCTTACTCCATTTTTCAGGCCAAGATGTGGCTGTGACATTGCCAACTGGCTTGAACCTGCCACTATTATGCCACCTCTTGGCAGCTCTGCCACTACCACCTCCCTGCCAGGCTTGGGTATCAAATGCCTGTAAGAGGCTTGGGTTATGTGTTTCTAAGACTGGCTGAGAAAGGAATACATGAGGGTAATTCAAGGTTCTCTCTGGAGAGAAATCTTGCACCAGATCTGAGGTTAGGCCCAGCCTCCAGGCTTTTCCTGGCCAGGACTTGCCTGGATTCAGAGGGTCATGGAGGTGAGGGGTAAGTGTGTGTGCCTTGTGAAGGGCGAGCCCCGCTTCCCAATGCACGACTACAGAAGCAAAGTCCAGAGTCCTAGAAGGCCCTAGCCAAGGTGGCTGGGGTTGTAGGACAGAAAACTGAGCGCTACACCCCCGCCCCCCGGTATGTTACCTTCCACTCTCAATGCCTTCCTCTTGGTGCTCCCCCTTTAGAACTCAAGGCTGCACGATCAAAGCCAGAGCCCCTTGTTTTCATTAGCACGATGGAGACAGGCAGCCTGGCACCTCCAGGAGAATAGAGAGTGAAGGGAGTTGCATTTGATCGGTGCCTACCATGTGCCAGGTAGTATGCTAGGTGTCTGTCAGATGGCCTCACTTAAGCCTCACATATGAATTTGACCTTAGACTTTATTAAAAAGAAAAGCAAAACTAAAGGAAATGAACCAAGCAAACACCAGGACATTAAAAAGATCAGATATATGCTAACCAGTCCATGATAGGGGCACAGGGTCTGGTGGAGGCGGGCTTGGGTTTGACTCTTGTCTCAATGTTTGAAAATTGAAACCATCATGGCCTCTCAGAGGCTCTAGTGAGGACGGAATAAGCCATACAAGGTGCACATGCAGACCCTTGGTGAACACGGAGAAGTGTTACTATCTGAGAGCCCCATTCCTTTTCACATCTAGGCCCCCTCCCCCCGCCCCCATGTCCCAGATCACACCTCTGGGTGTCTCCTCCCCTTCCGGAGGAAAGGCTCCAGACACACACCTCAGCTGGGAGGCCAGGCTGAGCTCCAGCCCAGGGCAGACACTGAAGCTGTTGAAAGAAAGACTGATGCAGGCTGCACACGTCTCCAGGTTTCCATCAGTAACCACAGACCCGGCCCTGCACCCCGGAGCCCAGTCAATTTCCTCTCCTTCTTTCTTCTTTTTCCAACTGAGAAACCACTCTCTTTACCTAAACTCAAAGTCTCTGCTGAAAGGCCTGAGTGGTCTGGACAGCAGCCCAGCTAAAGTCTCAATGGCATGTCTTCTGTACCAAGACTCTGGGTTCCCATGGAAAGGGGTTCCATTCCCCTGCAGACTGCCAGGGCTTTGCTCTCCCCCACCCACATCCAAGGTCACCTGAGCCTCTAGCCCCTGATTAAGCACCTCCCACCCTGCTTTCTCTCAAGGAGCAGGGGTGGGCGCCCTTCCATTTCCTGGTGCGAAGGCTGGGGCGCTGGTGGAGAAGCTCTGGAATTCTCCCAGTGTGGACAGCAGGTTGGCAAGCTGGTCCCTGGAGTGAATGTTTCCATGGGTCTTCTGGGGTCTCTTCAGCAGCCTCATACCAAGAGGGTATGAAGTTTTAGTCACATGGTCTCATTGTTTGATCCACAAACATTTGGGGAGTGCCAGCTGTGTCCCAGCCATGGGCTAGGGATATAACAATAAGTAAGAATGATAGCTCCCACCCTCATGACCAGGGTGAAAACTACCAAAACATACCGTAATCTTAGATTAAAATTCAAACCCTAGCCCTGGCTGATGTGGCTCAGTGGTTGAGCGTCGATCTATGAACCAGGAGGTCACTGTTTGATTCCTGGTCAGGGCACATTGAGCTCGGTTTGTGGGTTCAATCCCCAGTAGGGGGCATGCAGGAGGCAGCCGATCAATGATTCTCTCTCATCATTGATGTTTATATATATATCTCTCTCTCCCTTTCCCTTCCTCTCTGAAATCAATAAAAAATATATTAAAAATAAAAATTCAAACCCTAGACTAGGCAGAAAATCAGGCTCCACTCCAGGCACCAAAAGGTTAATGGAACAGCCTCAGTAAATCTGGTGACAATAGAGGCAGTGCCTTTAACAGGGACTGGTTAGATGTGGCCACCACTTCATGCAGAATCTTTATCTGGCTCCTTTTGATTGGTCAGCTAATGGCTCCCATTTAGAAGAGGCCTTCCCTGGCTCAGGTAGAGACTAAGGGCTGCTTTGCTCTTCTGCCCTCCCTCTCCCACTTGCCGACAGACCTCTCAGATGTGATCATCGCTGGCTGGGGCTCTGAGGAAGGAAGGAAGCCGTGGCCTCCCAGGATACACGAGGTTATGTTGCACTAACCAACAACTCCAATCTTAGCGACTTAGAGCACAGCAAACTTTTAAAAAAATGTTTATGAGTTCATTTGAGCCAAACTGATGACATATGCTGGGAGCAAGATCTCAAATGTTCCCAGAAGACAGCAAACTTTATACCAATGCCACATGTCCATCATGGGTCAGCTGGGTTTCCTAGCTCTAGAACCAAGCTAAAGGAATAGCCACATCGAAGGTCACATCGAAGACTAGGGGTCCTCTTCATTCTCTCCATCTCTTTCTCGAATGTGGACAGAAGATGTCATTATAGAACAGAAAGAGAGCTCTGCAGCGTTGCACACAATTAAATGCCTTGGTCCATAAATCACACACTTCGTGCACCGCCTCCACAGATGTGCCCAAATAATTTGGGACAGGACAGACCTCAGGGGTTTTTGCCGCTGGCAAATCTAATCTCCTTCCTACACTGCCTGAAACCTGTAGGCGAGATCTGAAGACTTCATTTTTTTCTCAGTGTGGTCTTAGAGGAGGATCCTTGCCTCCGCTTGTTCTCCTTCTCTTCATCCCTGAAGTCTCGCCTTCCTGAAGCAGGGATCATTCCCAGTGGCTTGGCCCAGCCTCCTTCCAGTACCTCGGCCAAGGCCAGCAGGCCATGGTGCTGGCTGCTGTCTCCTGGGGGTGGTCTTAGATCCTTCATTCCCTCCTTCTCTGTCTCATTCTCTCTATCTCTGTCTTTACAGAAACCCTTAGAATAGTTTAGCTTGGTGTCACCACACACAACTAGAGCTCTTGGCTGCCCTCTTTCCAGAGGTGAGCCTTATCTCAGTGTCTCCAAGATTACGTAGGAGTTCTCAGTATCTCCTTGCAGTTACCCACCTGACTAACCACCTGCCCTGTGAATGGAATGTCTTCTTCTTCTTCGGGACCCTCAGGATGAAATTTTAGTCTTGAGAGGGCCCTGAAGACAGAGGGCTTTGATGTGTCCGGTCTTCTACAGGCCACACAACCTCAGGGAATTTTAGTCTTGAGAGGGCCCTGAAGACAGAGGGCTTCTACAGGCCACACAACCTCAGGAGACACTTATTTTCACCCTCCACTGCAGTACCCAGGTCCTGTTCTATAATGACATCTTCTGCCTTTAGTCCCTTGGCAGAAAGCCCGTGTCTGACCCTTGGCCCTCCCTTCTGCATTTCCTCCATGGGGCTGAGGAGGTCTTCCTCCTGAGCAGTAGGGCCTCTGAATCTGCATAAGCAGGTAGACTTCCTCCAAGACAACGACAGTTACCCACTTAGGGAGAGTAAACCTCCATGTTTCTTTTGGAGCTCAGTCAACCTGTGTGTCAGGACCGGGAGCCTTGACACTGGGCTGGAGGAGTATAGTGTTTTCCTGCAGCCCCAACCCAGAGTTCTCTCCCTGTGTTAGGACCTTCCTAGCTCAGCCAGATCCCCTGGGGTCTTGGATATGGACTCCCGAGATGCCAAGTCACATGGGGAAGAACCCTGTGTGCAGTTCCTGGGAGCAAGATATCCATCCTCCTCCTTGTTGTCACTCTCCCTCCCACAGCTAGTGGTAACCACAGCCTGCTGCTCCTCTCCCTCCTGGGTCCCCTCTTCCCCTGCTTGTCTGGTTGGTGCTCGGTCTCATCCTTTCTGGCTCAGCATGGGTGCTGGGAGCTCTACATGGTCCTTGGCTGGAAGAAGTCTTCTCTCCAGCATAGAAATCTTGCCAATATCCACCCTTAGCTCTGCATCAGCCTCAGGGCTGGTCCTGGTCACATCGAAGACTAGGGATCCTCTTCAGTCCTCATTTTCTGGTACAGGAAGCCCATTTTGCCTTCATCACCTAGCTGGTGATCTATTCTGGGGCTTGCTGTGCCAAGCACATACAATCCCAGTAATTGTCACCTCTTATAAAAAAACAAAACAAACAAACAAAACACAGGAGTTCATCAAGGGAAATAAGAAGGCTGTTCCCAGCCTAGGTGCCCATCAGCAGATGAGTGGATTAAAAAACTGTGGTACATCTACACAATGGAATACTACACTACTATAAAAATAAAGAACTACCATTTGCAATAATATGGGTGGACCTGGAGAGCATTATGCTAAGCAAAATAAGCCAGCTGGAGAAAGATAAATATCACATGATCTCACTCATTTGTGTACTATCACGAACAACATAAACTGATGAACAAAAATAGATCCAGAGACATAGAAACATCGAACAGATCGTCAAACCTCAGAAGGAAGACAGGGGAGATAGTGAGGGGTAAGAGATTAACCAAAGGACTTGTATGCATGCATATAAGCATAACCAATGGACACAGACAGTAGGGGGGTGAGGGCATGTGCTGGGGGGTGGGAGCAGCCAAGGAGAAGTCAATGGGGGGGGGGAAGGAGACATATGTAATACTTTCAACAATAAAGAATTAAAATATTTTTTTTAAAAAAAGGCTGTTTCCAACAGCCCAGCTCACTAAGCAGCCCCAACCCAGAGGTCTCTCCCTGTGCTAGAACCTTCCTAACTCGATCAGATCACCTGAGGCCCTGGATATGCACTCACCCTCCCACAGCTAGTGGCAACCACAGCCTCTGCACCCACCCAGGGAATCTCCCTTCCTAAAGCTCTTCCACCTCTCTCTTTGTCCAGGACAGTGGGTGGAAAGCGGATCTGGGAACACAGGACAACACTCACTTTTTCCTACTTTCCATCTGTACAGAAACTGACATTCTTTCCTCCCAACCAAGGGCAGGGTCAGGATTTGCTTCCTCACAGACCTCCCCATGTGCTGTGGTTCCCAGGGATGACCAAGGGAGGGGCTGCTATTTTGCAGATATCGACGAATGCCGTCACCCTGGCACCTGCCCTGATGGGAGATGCGTCAACTCCCCCGGCTCCTACAGTTGCCTGGCCTGCGAGGAGGGCTACAGAGGCCTGAGCGGGAGCTGTGTAGGTGAGGGCTGCTTGCCAAGGTACTAAGAGGACTGTTTGGCCTGGGACCTCTGGTTGAGCCCACACACAGGGAGAGAACGAGGTGGGCAGAGGGACACGGTTTGGAGGCTATTGTCCTTTGTGAGCCGGCTGGGTTCCCAGATGACGTTGGGCATGAGGTGGGTGTGCTTCAGTTACTGATGCTTCGCTCTCTGAATCAGCTAGGGCGGGGGCCACTTTGGCTCCTTGGTCATATCCGTTCGGGAGCTACAGCCCAAGGTCCCAGAAGCCTCTGAGGCTGGATCCTGGGTAGAGCGAAGTGCCAAGCATCTTAGGCAGAGGCTGACTGATGGTGTGAGCTGGCAGCCAGGCCCTGCTGTGGTTTCCTGGGAGGAGGGGTCTTTGGCTCCCCTGCATCCCAACAGCAGTATCTAGACAGCACCGCCCAACTGGACAGTGGGTGCTCTTCTCCCTGCAGAGGGGGCTGCGTGTCAGCTGTAGGAGGAATGCTCTTTTCCCTCCGCCCCTGCAGGAAGGAGGGCCGGGGTGCAGAATGCCAGGAGGGACTGGGCTGTGAATAGATGCTTTGAGGCTCTGGAGAGGGCAGACATTTCCCAGGCCCTTGACACTGCCCTTCAGCCACCCAGGCAGAGCTTGGCCTTTCTCTGCATGGCCCACTCACCTAGAGGAGCTGGTTGTGAGGCTGGGAACATGAGCTCATAGAATGTTGGCAGGTAGGAAGCCAGAGAGGGTCAGGACCACTGGAAGGTGAGTCCCGGGTCCTGGACACTTCACTCCAGGTGTCCTGGGAGGGGCCAAACCAGGGCTGAGGGACCTACCCCCTTTTCTGGGACACATGCAGGGTTCTCAGTGTTACTAGTTAGAGATGAAGTGAGCTCCATGGGGAAGGGCACCCTGCCCTGCTTGGGTGAGTGGGGCCAGGAGCAGGAATGACCTCGTGGCCTTCGCAAGGTGGCCTCTGGGTCCTCTGCATGGTGGTTCCTTGGCCTCATAATGGAGATCCTCTAAGCCTGACTAGGGACTGCCTGGAGGAGAGGAGGCCAGCTCGCTACCCTGGACTTCTCCCCACAGATGTGAACGAGTGTCTGACCCCCGGGGTCTGCGCCCATGGAAGGTGCTACAACCTGGAGGGCTCCTTCCGATGCTCTTGTGAGCAGGGCTACGAGGTCACCTCAGATGAGAAGAGCTGCCAAGGTACAAAGATGCTGAAGCAGGCTTCCTCCACAGCTCACCAGCCCGCAGCTCCTTCCCTCTGTACACACACTCCCAGTCCACCCTGGTCCCGCATCCCAACCATGCTACCCAACACATTGCTGCAAGTCCCCGCCTTTCCCCTGTCCCCACCCACCTGTCAGTCTGCTGTCCTGGCACGTCTGTCCTGCAGAGTCCCACACAGCACTCATGGCCTGTTTCAGATGTCAACGAGTGTGCCAGCCGGGCCTCGTGCCCCACAGGCCTCTGCCTCAACACGGAGGGCTCCTTCGCCTGCTCAGCCTGCGAGAGTGGTTACTGGGTGAATGAAGAAGGCACTGCCTGTGAAGGTAACCCTGGGGAGGGGTTGGCAGAGAGGGACCGAGAATGTAATGTAGTCTCTCCTACCTCCCAACGAACACTCCATTTGTCCCCTAGCTTTGGGCTAATGCTGAGGGTCTCCAGGTTAGGCTAGAAGACCCTGTATATGGACTTGGCCCCAAGGAGAGCTTCTACTGTCATAATCCTCAAGTTTAGAGGTGAGGACAGGAGGAAAGGGGAGTTTGAGACCAGAGGGAAGCTGATGGTAGAGTTGCCCAGGAGCATTCTGGGGAAGGGGTGCTGAGATTGCCCTAGAAGTCCACAGCCAGGGCTGCCCCTCCCCAGGGGCCTGGAGAGAGTCCTACACGCTCAGAGAAGGCGGCCAGAGGCCTAGGAGGTTCCTGCCTGACCAGGTGGAGGGAGCCCTCCCCAGCCCCCAGGTGACAGCTGCTGTCTGCCCCAGACCTAGACGAGTGCGCCTTCCCGGGAGTCTGCCCCTCAGGAGTCTGCACCAACACTGCCGGCTCCTTCTCCTGCAGGGACTGTGACCAGGGCTTCCGGCCCAGCCCCCGGGGCCACACCTGTGAAGGTAAGAGCCCCTGTGGCAGAGGAGGGAGACCAAGCCATCACCCTTAGAGAAAGGAGTGGCCAGGACACAGCAGGGGCTGTTCCCAGACTAGGGGCCCCTCTATCCATCTCAGATGTCGACACCTGCAGATCTGGGGCCGGGGGCTGGTGAGCCCTGGGTCACATGCTTCAGCACGCATTG